ACACGTTACATTCTCATTATTTTTATCGTTGATAAATGCTATAGTACTTTTTTTTATTTAATCTCTCTTAAAAATCTTTCCCAAGTCGGGCAAGTAATCTCGCAGCGTCGATCCGTTATTTTTAATCAACTTTTGTCCTTTCTTATCATCATCATTTCGCCCCCGCTCGTCATCTTAACTTTTGTTTATTTATCAATAGTATTATCGTTTATAAGTAATATCGCTATTTTTACAACACGAGGAGCCGCTTGATAACCACGAGCTCCTCATCAAAAAACTTGTCAACGCTTATTTTGTTTGTTTTTTTTTTAATCTTTTTGCATCGCACATTCCATTCACAAGAACCCTAGGAGGTAAAACGTATTATTCTAAATTTTTTTCTATACAAGCGCAAAATGAAGTCTTAGTACATTCATTTTCTTTTTTGCAAATATCCAATGCTCGTATGCAATGCATTAGTGGTTAATGATACTGTTCGTAAATTACTCAAGATTTATATTACGCTAAATAAATTACACAAATGTACAAAATACTTCGTCGAAGCTGCAACTACAGTGTTTTTAATTAAATCACGAGTAAGGTATTCTTTGTCAAGAAGCATCGATATTTGCAAAAAATGACCTCATTCCACTTTTATTTTCACCAATCTTCAAAAACCTTTGCATCTTCATTATATCTCCAATTCGAAAGGTACAATTCTAGAATGTGTGTGTATATATATAAACTCATCAGTGTCCCTCAAAATCCATTCGCAAATCCTCATATCCTCCCTTTTCTACATCATTCTTTTCACCTTTAAAAACTACGCAATGCGCCTAAAAGTTATGGCTTATATTCCTAGGATTCTCGATAATAATTGAATCGGATAAATTAATACTTCATAACTGTGTAGGTTTTTTTCTCTAGGCTAGACTCCGACGGAAAAATATATTTATAAAAAGTTTTTAATGTTATAATTATATCATTATAATATATTATATTAATAATATATTTATATATTTATATACGTTTCAAGCGTTCTATATATCATACTAATTCTCTACTTAATGTCTAAGTTCTCGCATATCCTCAAAAAAATTCATATATGATTCAGCAACATTTTTTAGCCGGTCACTTTTCATTCTTTCGATTTCCATTATTTTTTTTTCTTTCGAAACTCGCAAAAACATACAGACACCTTGGGTAAGTTCATTGGAACCGTCCATCGCAGGTGAAAATATCCACTTTTCAAACTTGTTTTTGGATGGAATCTGTTGCACTGTTTTCTTCAACTCATAAATTTATCAAAGAAAATGGTTGTTAATTCCTTTTTAACAAGTTCTCCATGCGAGTGTCATTCTAATAACAATTACCCACAGTGAATCAAAATATTTTTTCAAATACGCGCTTCTTTACTACTGTTAATGTTCAATTTTTCGTTATCAACATGATTATTAAAAACTTGATAATTTTTTTCTAATTTTACACACTCTCTTTCGCTCTGTTTTCTCACTCTCTTTAATATTCCAATGTGTGTATGCTTGTGCTGGTAAAATATGTATGATTTATGGAGATCTTGCTCATGTTATTCTTATGTTTATGAAATTCAAAAATTGGTAAAATTTGTTTTGGGCAATAACATTTTATCAATCAATTTATTATTCAATAACAAATGATTAGCTTTTTCTAAACAATGTTTCGTGAAAATTTCGTCGCAATTTGAAGATAAAAATTAAGTAAGCGACTAATTTTGAAGTAAACATTGATCCTGTCATTAGTAAATGCTTATAAAATTTTTAGTCCAATAATAGCTAATCATTTCGTTGTATTACTGATGTATAACAACAGCAGTGAATTTATCGTCACTTGTTTCTGTGCGTTCATGTTAAAACAACAATCATCACAAAGAATAACGGTTTAAGGATTATAATTACATCTTTGGTATTATACCTGAGACCTTCATAGGAAATCCTTCTATAATTGAAAGGCTGATTGTTCAAATATGGCAGAAAAATATTGCAAGATGTTTTTTCAGTAAGTCAGTTATAGGATAGGTGAAATTTGAATTAATTTCCACAAAATTTCCATGATCATGCAACAGTAAGTTTTTCAAGGCCCACTTCCATACAGTATTAAAAGTCTTATTGGAAAGACTCAGGAGGTTCATTTTTAACATTAAATTATAAAACGTACATTAGTAGATTTATAAGCAAATGGAAAATTGAAATAGTTAATTATTTCATGAAATTACGAGTCTAACGTTTCGCCAATTAAAAAATAATCAAGTTATCAGTAACACAAAATTCAACAACATAGTTAGACTTCTTGTATTATAAATGAAACTGAAAATGATATCAAAGAGCAACAATTGTGCTCAATTTCAATGAAACCAGTCTCTTTTATTGTGATTTTTTTTTATAAATTCAGCGACGAAAAGGTCGCAATCAGTGCAATTGACGTACTGGTTTACCTGCTACAAAGGAAAAAATAAAAATAAAAAACAACATACATCAGTAAGAAATTCATAGTTACATTCTTTATCCTCGAAATTAAATAATAAAAAATCTATATTTTAAATATACATTATATATCTTCAAACTAATAGATGATAAAACATACTTTAAGAAAAACAAATTAAAACTTAGAATTAATTAATGTTTACAAATGCAAAAAAAAATACAGTCTACCAAGTGGACAAAACAATTTTTTGACTACAAAAATGACTTAAATTAAAATGAACAGTTTCCCGCGTAGCCTCGCAGTCTCGGAATTCATAACACAATTAACGTCATGGGAAGTTTGTACTGTCTGTTGAGAGAAAAAGATTTGTTCATTTTTCAAACACTTAACGAGTTACTCTAACGTTGAATGGAACTCGACAAAAAACCGTACACAAGACTCGTCCGCAGCGAACAATAGCCTTTCAGTCTTATGATTTTTTGTCTATTTTTTAATATACATTTGAATCGTTGTCGCGGACGAGTGTATATATGTATCCAATAAATGCAAATTGTAATAATTGAGTCTCGAATACTGTACCGGCACAGTTATCAGAGAGTTTTGTGTGATGTAATTATGGTGTTTTATTGATTGTGTATGTACCTTGAACAACTTAAGCTCTGCTGTTGACTTTGAGCTGCTTCACTTTCAATATTTTTACAATTTCATATAATTTGCAAAAGTACGCTTTTTTTTAAATATAGACTTACGTAAATCAACGTATTATTATATTTTGGTGAACCAATTATACTATTACAAATAAACAAGAGAGCTTGAAATGCATTTTTTTACTTTCCATTCATTGTGAATATCCCATTTTGTTTTAAAACCATTACTTTTATACAGAAAATTTAGTATTGAGAAAAGTCACCTAAAGAGAGCGCTCGTGAGTTTTTTCTTTTAAATAAAACCGTCACACCATTCTTCAACCACAAAATTTTATTCCGCTTGTCTTGAAAAACATTTCGTCATATAGAATATATCACATATGCGTTACTTCTAAACACACTGAAATAAGAAGCACTTTAAGATAGATGTCTACATGCACCATCCGGCCCAAGATTAGATGGACTAATTTTTTCGTTTTTTTTCCTTATGCTCTTTCTTTTTTCCTCGTCATTCTCTTACTCTCGTATAACTCGTAACTGCTGTAGTATAAGTTTCTGTATAATATAATATGTGTAATTATTATGTACATTATCAAGCCCCATTTGCTCTAATCTAGAAAAATCGCTCAACTCACTCTCGCAAAACTTTAGCTTTCTTGGCGCACTCGCTTTCTTAACTATTTACGTATATGTGCGAGTGCTCGACTTCGAAACGTACAAAAAACTAAGTATGAACCTTTGGATATTTTCAATAACAAGTCAGTGGATGTTTCAAAGTTCGTTATACGGATATTTTTTGTTTGCTTGTTACAACTTTTAACTGCACACTTTGTCGGTCTATCACCCGCTATTATAATTTTCATTACACGCTTAACCATACATTGGTATCTATACAAGCGTACTTAAAAATCAGATTATCTAAAACGTGGGCAATCTCCACGTTTTTATGACAGAAAAAAGTGATGTTTTGGAATTTCCAGATACTTTGCGCTCGTACCGAGAAAGCACTTTGCTCTTTTCACCATGCGCACACCGATGCTGAGTAAAAACTTAATTACAATAACGATTCAATGAAACGAATAGCTTAAATACAATTACGAAAGGCTATTAAAAATAGTACAACAACATAATATCTTTAACGCAAATATAATAATAATATTAGTCACCAGACTGTCGTCATAGTTTATACATCATTTACACGTACTTTGGCTTTAAAAATTCTGTTGACAAGTTAAACTGAAAAATTTATTGAAGAAACAAAAGTAATTCTTTGAATTACAATTCTACCTCTATGCAATCTTCTTTTTTTCCATAAACAGGATAACTCAGAATCATTATCGGCTCGAAAAATAGTCTTCGCTGTGTAAAACTTATCGCGACTTCAATACTCAGCGTTAATTGACATTTCGAGTCGCAATTTAATAATAAAAAAGTGGAGATTACTCTATCTTTCTGCATTCGCTTAATTCTTATCATTATATAACTGCGTTTGAGCTTAACTTGATAATCGTTCGGTCAATTAGTTCGCATAGCTATACCTTTCGCATCGCATTTCTTATTCACGAAAATTTCAATTGGTATCCGCCTATAATTACGTTCTAAAGGCGCGGAGATGTCGCAAAATGACGATAATCTACTTTTGTATGTTTTCCCTTCCCTTTCCAGTAAAGGCTTGTGCTTTCCATAACTCGTATCGAGCAATGGATTTGTAAAAAAACAAAGAGAAAGAAGTTCTATAACGCCGCAGTCGCGCGATTGTAAACTTGTCAGTCGAAGATAAAAACGAAGCCACGTTTGGGCTTCTTCTGCGTGCCGCTGTCGTTCGCAAAGAAAACACGCCGTCCTCGAGAGAGCCTCTGACCGTCGATCAAGTTATTTATATATATATATATATATATATATATATATTTTTTTTTTTTTTTTTTTATATAGGTAATCTAAGATACAAGGAATTAATTCTTAAGCGTTAATGTACAATTTCTTTTTCTCATCATAATATACAAGTCTTTTCGAGTGTCAAAGTCTGGCTCTCGAGATGACCGAGCGAAGCGGGAGTTTATAATCGATAATAGTGTCGTATCGCGCTTATGCGGAGCAATGAACATTCTCTCTCAAGCTTTAGAACCTATTTTTATGTTCACAAACAACAATACATTTTTTTTCAACAAACACAAATTTAAAGTAAATAATATAAATTGATCATTTCAGCTTCAAGTTTAAGATCTGCAGTATTGCAAGGAATTGATTACAGTTTGCCATTGCTTAATTCATCCATAACATATATTTACAAAAAACTATTCAAGTATATGCATGTTTGGCAGTTATCGGTTACTAAATACTTTCGCTAATTGCTCATGTTTCATTAAACTCGAAGCTTTAATCACGACGCTAAAATGAAAATGGCTCGTTTCTTCAGGTAAATGATTAAATTTGACGTCTGATTTGCGCATCTGAGCATTTTCAGAGAACTCATCGTAACAATGTGTCTACGGAATAAGTGAAAAACCAATTGTCAGTCACTTTAAATGTAGAAATTTTGAAGATCCTCAGCGAAATCACAAGTACAAAATGGAAAGTAATAAAGGCGTACAATTAAGTTTATGAGGAAAGAAAACGATCGGTAGTGCGCAGCAAGACAAAAGAATGAGCTTCAATACTCAAAAGCAAATGGATAAGCCTCGTAATTGTCAGGCGACCAGTTGTGTCGACGACGCGAACGAAAGGAAAGCAGGAAATCGTAAAGTCATCCGCGGCTGGTGCAGCGATGCGCATTGTTACTATGACTATTATTAGTACTATTAGTAGTAGTGTGGTTAGTAGTAGTGTCATGAGCGTACGAGGCTAGCTCGTCGCGGCAATGATGATCGAGGGGCCCCATGGCTATTTCGTCGTGGCACTATGACCGATAGATGAAGCTGCATGGAGGCGTAGGTGGTGGCGGCGAGCTGCCACTTTGGATGAGGCAATTACTACCAGGTCGGCCTTGGCTTGCGTTGTCCAAGGCTGCCAAGGTTGGTGACGGCGAGGAGGAGGGCGGAGACGGCGAGCTTGACGACATACTCGACGGTGGTGACGGCGACTCTAGACCTCGGCTACCACCTTCGCAATCCCATTGGTACTCAATGAATTGTCAAGCATTACACTTAATCAAGATGTCGGTTTAAGGAAACTTACTATGAGCCAGATCGCGGGTCGAGTGACCCTGATGATGGCCATGATGGTGTGCGCCAGACCTATGCGACGAGCTGCCGTTACTGTTGTTACCGCCGTTACTTCTCGGAGCTTGCTGTTGTTGTTGCTGCTGCTGCTGCTGCTGCTGTTGCTGGCGATGTTGACCACGCGCTGGCCTGCCCAGGCTACGATGTCGACCGGAAGCGGCCTGAGCGGCGACCGCGGCTGCGGCAGCAGCGTTACAACCCCCCTCCTCGCTCGTTTCTCAGAGATAGACCTTCTTCACACTGCGCGTCGTGGCGAAGCCATCCTGTCGTCGGTAGCCCTGCTCGCCCTGATGCGAGCGCAGTGTGCCGAAGTTGTCTGCTCGCGCTGTTGGTCCCCTGTAGCCGTAGCCGTCCGGGAATTGGAACAAAGTCTCGGCTGGGGTGGGTGGTGGTTTACGCATTGTACCCTTTGGCGAGTGCATCTTTGGCGGTTGCGGTACTAATACAGGCTCCGCGTACGTCACTTCCTCTTGGGGCAGCAGTTTCGGCTCTGGCGCCAGTCGGCTGCAAAAATGTCCATGGCGACTTCAGTCGAATAATATTAGCTGAGAGAGAGAGGGAGAGAGAGAGAGAGACGGCTTTGAGTATCGAAATGAAACTTACCTGTTAACGTTCTGTCGCTGCTCGAAATACTCGTACTCCGTGTCGGGATAGGGCATATTATCATCCTCGTCCTTTTTACACTTTCTACCGCAAAGGTAGCCGGCGGTAAAGCCGACGAGGAGTGCGGCCAAGGCACCCGCGACCACAGCCATAACGAGCGTCTCTACGGAATACTGAGGTGGCGGCGAATCGGCTGCCGAGACTTCTGGACCTGCAATCAACATCCCGTCAAAACGTTTATTTAATCAGTCCCTTGATTTACAAGCCCAGCTCTAGCACTCTGAATTAATTACAAACGCGTGAGGAGCTTCTTATGCATTGTTTACGTTACAGGAGATTTACATTTCGACGAGATGGATGGAAGGAGCTTCTGTGAAAACAACAATTCTGAACTGCACTTGCATTATAGTGACTCATTACCAAAAGCAATCATGATTTTTCAAGTAGTTTCATTTTCAAACGGATTTCTTGCCATGCAACATGGTTTTCCATTGAGAGCACGACAGAACGAAGCGCTCGCGAAGTGGATGCACATTACAATCAATCGAATATGCATTTGCCAACTTCTTACTCGAACACATCGCAACAAAACTCATGGCTTGCACTTACCGGAATTACTCTGCTCTTCATCCTGCATAATATTGATGATCTCTCCGCCCTGGCTCTCCTTGTTCGCTGCCATGGCATCTTGTGGGAACTTGTTTTGGTTAGCTGATATCGCGCCGACACTTCCGGCGTCTTTGTTCATTGTCTTGCCTGGTGGGCAAGATGCATGCTGACCAGTGGCAATACTTTGCAAGAAACGACTCGCGTCTGTTGATGCTGGGCCGACCAGTGCACGACATTTGCCATCCATACGGTCCCATGCGCAGTATGGGTCTTGTAGTGCTACACATTCATCTGAAATAAGAAGGATATTATTGCTTATATTGAAATTTTCTCGTGGTTCTTTTACGAAGGTTACTAATTCTTTGTTTTCAATCTCGAAGCTTATATAATTAGTTTGAAGTTTATATAATTAGTGGATAAGAAAAATTATTATTGCAAGTATCGAAACAACTTACACAAAGAGTGAAATGTAGACGTTAAAAATGAAAAAAAATATAAACTGGTTAATTGACATAGCAAACAAGAAACAAAATTAATGTATCAACAGCAAGTGACGATCCAATTCTTAATCAGCCATTGAAACCAGAAGCTTATTTGTCAGCGCGACACACAAAAGCCAATCGATCAATTAAACTTCATTAGCATATTCAACAAGAGTGGAGCAATCGATCAACCTTTAACGTAATTCAATACTCACTACACGAGAGTATCCTGTCGCTGTAGCATCGATGCAACCTGAGAGCTTGCACCTGGCTATCGGCGATGACGACGAGTCTACCATCTTCGAGGCCATCACCCGCCTGACTGGCTCTCACGACCTTGATTCCACGAACAGGTACGTTCTGAGGGAATGCCTGTATCTCCTCAATTACTACTGGGCTGACTTTGTCTTTCGAATCGGCCGACTCGGCGTTGATTGCTTTTATTACTTTGCCGTTGTCTGTACCGATGAATAAGACGTCGTATGCTTTGCCACCAGGTGTTTTCACTTGCGGGTCTACTGTGATTTGCGTGAACCTGTAGCTGTAATGACAAAACAAATGGCTACTCGCTCGGGAATAAATGGTATTCATGTTTCAGCCAGCGAACGTGGAAAGGAAACAATTTTTAATAAAAAAGTATGAATCACGCTCAATCAACAGTCCGTGAAAGTTGCTCGCTGTATTGCTAAAATTAAAGTTCGATTCGAAAAGAGTATTGGAAAATACAGAGTAGTCACCTCTGCAGGGAAAAAAAAGGTTTTAGAGTGTAAAATTGCGCAACTGGCACTCGTGTGAAGAGGTACGCCACTCGACGTGAACAATTTTAAAGAGCAACACTTGAATTCACCGATTTTCAGCGATTTCGCGAGAATCTCAAACAGTGAAACGCGAACAGCAATCAAACTTTCATTATGCATGTGCCAGGCGGACCAATAAGTGTTCGACAATCAAATTTTACGGCGTACGCACGCTGCAATTATCGCATGGCTTACGCAGGCCGATTTTAAAGGGCGGTCATTTGTCGACGACGTTTGTCGAGGAAATGATTGAATGGCGACGGCGCGTTTCTGGCAAACAATATCCGACGGGGAACCGTAGGAGTGACTCACTGAAAACTGGTGCGTATTACGATGGGTTGCCCGAAGAAGCTCCTAACCGACTCGTCCATGAGAGAGTGACTCTTGATGAAGTTGAGCGTGAGATCAGGCAGAGTGCGCGAGTCATTGACGCACTGTCCAGGTCGAGGATCTGGCACCTTGGAGCTTGGCACAGGTAGCCAATTGGAGTTCTGAGTGCTTTGCTCCTTGAATAGGCCCTCGAACGTGTCCTGGATGTCCTGTAGCGAGAACGCGCACACAGCCGAGCCGCTGATGCTGTTGACCGGCGTGGTGAACGTGCCGTAGATCAGCTGAGCTTGCACACCGCCGTACGTGCCCGATATCAGTTCCGTCGTTGACTCTGCATTTGTGTTGGCGGCCATATATACAAATATCGATTAATTTTACGGATCGACTCATCACGTTTACTTTGTATTTGACAGATTACCTATCTCAGTAGCTTGCGCGTTTGGCCTATTATCGCACAATAGTGCTATGTTATTCAGACAAATTGAAACATTATTTTTCGGCTTTGAGTTGCTTGATTGATTAAACGCTAATTGTATCTTGTAATTTTACTATTCTACCCATTTTCATTTATATTCTCACGTTACAAATACAAATTTTTCAATGCTTTTCAACGCAGTAATATTAATAATTACAAAAATACATCAGACGTAAAAAAAAATCCGACCAATTTCATTTTAATACTTATTAGTCTACCGCAAAATTGAAAAGTTTCACAAAATCAGATTTGAAAAGTATGAAATACAGCTACAATCTACCAAGAATCTTTCGTGGTAATATTTTGCAAAGTTTAATTTTAGTCTTCTTTAAACCGGAAATAAGTTGGCTGGGGCAAATGGCAATAATACTTTTGAAAATGCAATTACACGGTGCGCAGTCACGCAATATGGAACTGTCGATATTTCGATAAACTTACGTATATCATTGAAGTAAAATGGAAAGTCTCCGGTAACGGAGCAATTGAGGCGAGACTTTAGAAAAGACGTCCACCTATTACGAAAACGGTGTGGCCCTCCTCGATCGGACTTGCATACTCTTGCCACTCGAGAATATACCGTCTGCAAATCAAGGCAATTTTTCTTAAATTCGTTCGCTATAAACTAAATTATTACGTGTCATTATCTCTTGACTTTCCATTAGAAAAGTTCTCAAGTGAAAGTAATGAAAGAGGTTCGCTTCTACACACGAAATCGCATCAAATAATTATACTATTTGATTACATTTAACACATCTCCGTTGATGATAAAAAGATAATCACTCAGAAGAAAATGAGATGAGAACAACACAACAAACAGTAGCTTCCCTTTTTCACGCGCACTTTGCGTAATTTCGTGATTGAGGACAGCCATTTTTCGAGACACCCGAGCGATCTCGATGTATTAAAAAAAACAGTTCGCCTTCTTACTACTTGAATTTTCATGAGGAAAGCAAAGGTATATACATAACAGCGGTTTTGAATATAAATGATTAATGCAAATGAAACAAACCTTGCCGCAGTTGATGTACTCGACGGCAGTCTCCCTGAAGAAGAAGTAAACAAAGTCGCCGTGCGTCATCGAACTCACGAAATTCGGCGCTGAAAAAAGAAAAGAATTCAAGGTTATTTACATTTTATCATCAAGTATAAAATGAGCGAGATGAATCCTTTATTTCCATAAATATTTGGGCACGAGCATTTGGAAATATAATTCTTGGATTCGTATTTCTTATTTACCGGAGAAGTCGTGCGTCAAAAAAGCTTTTTTGAATTTAAAAGAAAGTGTACTCGTTTTAAAAACGTTCTGCTGCATCTTTTCTTAAAAATGTAATGAAATGACAATCAAACTACTTATACAGCTCACAGAGTAGCGCAAGAATAACTGATTATTCACTTAATTAGAAGCAAAGTGACGACTCAATGATAATAAAAAACTGTCACATGACATATCTTCTAATATTGTCAAGAGTTCATAGGAGTCTGCCTAAATGGATTCATTTAAATCAGAGAAAAGAAGTAATTAATGTCACCGTTCTAAAGAAAGTCAAACTATTTTGGCCGAAAGTTAGCAGTAAAAGAAAAAATAGGTCAGGCAAGAGGTAGATAAAAAGCACAGAGAGAGAGAATGAGAGAGAATGAGAGAGAGTGAGAGAAAGTGAGAGAGAGAGAAGAGAGAGAGAGAGAGAGAGAGAAGTGTCAGGGTATCAGACAGAGATTCGAAAAGTGGATAAAAGTATCTCGGGGTAGTTTTCTAGATTAAAAGGTGAACAGGATCGTTAATCCACTGCTCTCTCGCACGAAACTTTTCCCATTAGGCATTGTCGGAGAATCATTCTCGATTGACGCTAATTGGTCAGCGGTAATAGAACGAAAGAAAACGAAGGAAAGGCTTGGGTTTGGAAATGCAAGTTAGAGAGATTAAAAAAGTACGCACGCAGTGATTTATGTATAACGTTGACGTTGATTACTTTTTTTTTTTTGATTGATTATATCCGCTAAATTTAAAATCGATGTTTTAAACTGACAGGATTTTTCATGCGTGCCTATGAAAGGCGAGGTCTGTATAAAAATTGACTGATGCGGGCATAGCATGAAAAAGTAAAAACTCACTCGTATATATACTTTATCGCGCGTTCGCATGAAATGTATTTTAGCTTATAAAATTTATTCTGGCAAAACGTGTGCAGTTGTACATTTTGATATTTCAGTTTATACCGCGTGTATACCCTTTTGTGTAATTTGACCGCGAATCCATTCTAGAGCATGAAAATATTATCTCTGAATTTGACATTCCGGGAACTGAGCGGGATATTTGATCCGAGCACTTGCAATTGCATATGAAAAGTAATAAAGTAACTTTGTACGTCAAACACTGAATTTAAAAATGGATATGTAATTAAGCTTCGGCTACTTTTTCACGGAATTTAATATCAATTCTTAGGTCATTTGTAGCTCAATTAAATGCTCAAAGGCAAGTAAATTAAATTCCTGCTATTCGAGCTACATCAAAGGACTTTCCACACTAGCATAGACTCCTTCTATTGACTACTGTCATTATGGAAACAGATACAACTAGTTGAATTTGAGAAAAAAAACAATTTTTATAAAGAATCACGATGAAACCTAAATACTTACCATTAAGACTCATCGAGTCGTACTGTTCGGTCTGCAGTGGTTCCCTATAAATGATAGGATCCATTCCAGTGAAATCCGCAACGGTACCGGTAAATAATTCGCCATCGACATAGACGTAGGTGCTGTTATGATGTGGATCATAAGGACAAACAGCTTTAGCGACTTTCTCGTTAGCCACCGTGTAGTTGCCAGGTTGAACATTGTAAGTGCGACACATCGGTTTGAAGGCGTTGGTGCCGCAAACGAGAAGACTGTTACTGCCACTTTTTGCCAAGATACGAATGTAGTTTTGACAATTCTCTTCGTCTTTGCCTTTCACTTGACACATTTTCACGTCACCGTCGGGCGAGTACCATGTTAGTCGCTGATGCTCCGTCAAGTCCGTCAAACTCAGATTGTGTACTAAATTCCTGTATTGATGGAAACAGAATGAATTTCAGTTTGTAATTTGTAAAATAGCCTATCTCGATTTGTTGGCATGGCTCTCTCGCAAAATTTATCATTAAAGCAAAACTGTCAACACCCTTCTAAAAAATTATCGGATACGAAAAGAAGTATATGCTATATTTACTGTCGTACATTCCACACGCTGGAACATTATACGTAAGTACCATTTCTTCACATAGTACTAAATACGTTTATAAAAAATATAACGAAATGGAACTTGGAGTTGTCAACAAATCAATATTTGCTAACCTAGTCACATAGTCACATACGCAGTGTTAGTATTTGAGGTGGATTGCAGCTGGGGGTGGGGGTGGCGCAAGCTATTATACATCGATTTCCGCGCAGATCAAACAAAGGCGGTGGCAAGCAACGCTAGCGCGCGCCAAAGTAATCAAGCAAAACGTAGGCGCGGAGGAGCAATCAACAAAACCGAATTATTCCCTTGGTATAGTGCTGCCGAAGAAAAGGCCCTGCTGCAATTATGTGTACGCGCGCGAATGTAACCCGATACGCTGATTATCGCGCATTCACCCGCTTATTAAAAATTGGCGAAAACCGCTTGTTACGCCCCATTGTATCTTCTCGCTCGTGATAATTACTAGCTTAACAACTTCTGTGCAAGTCTACTCTTGATTGGCACGCTACTCTGTGTGTTCGAGCTTATTTGTTGGCTTACGCGCACACACACACACATATATATCTATATAAAATATATATACACATGCTGAATCTGATTTTACGCTTGATTTCCGCGCGACGATGCGAGCCGAATTCGCGATACCCTCACATACAAACTGTTTTGTATGTATACATGTATATCTTGACGTGCGTGCCGCCATTGTTTGTTACATTATGCGCTCGAACTATCTTCTGATTGATTTTCGCGTAGCGCTTGCACTACGCGCGCTCAAGTGGAATTTCATGTCGAATTCGAAGATTGAATTTGTAACTGACCACTCGATTCGTTTTTCTAGCTCTTGCTACGCCCAAAATTGCCGAATTTCTATATTGCATTGCAATCAACGTTATTGCATATGTGATCATGTGATCCAGCGTCGAGCCGTAACCGCAAAAAAAAATAAATAAATAAAATAAAATACAATAAAACAGGAATCGGAAGAAAAGCAATAACAAAGAAGAAAAAAAGAAGAGGCACGGCACACGTTGTCCAAAGTAAATCCGATAGCGAAACCGCGGCTAGCAGCGGCAGCGGCAGCAGTATCCGGCGGCGCTCGAGTGCGCATACATAATACGGCAGCAAACTGACGGGTACTGCTGTTGGTTGTTTGGCCCGGGGCGCGCGCCGCGTTTTTTCCTTTTCATTTCTTCCTCTTCTCTTTTTTTTAATTAAAAGCATCCGCGGGTAAACGAAACGGCGCTGATGTATTTACCTTCCGCCGACCAGCAGGTAGCTGCCGTCCCTGAGCATCAGCCGAAAGTAATCTGTGTGGGTCTCGTTGCCGGTAAACCTGAACACGTCTTCCGCACCTGCGAACAAAAAAATGGAGAGATACCTCAGTCAGAAGTCGAATTACACGACTACTCTCGCGATCTAATTAGCCCTTCTCTCTCTCTGTCTTTCTCTTTCTCTCTCTTTCCCTCCCTTCTCTTTAGCTGAGAAAGAGTAAAGTTTCCTCTTGCGCAAAAGCTTGGGCTTACTTTATCTAAGAGAGGCCCGATAAGAATCCGAGGTATACGAAGGAACGAGGTTGGACTTGATAACGAGTAACGACTCGACGTCGCTGAGATTGCAGAACAAAGAAAGAAAAAGATAGAAAAGGGAGTAGCGGCGAGATTGAAAGCTTTATTTGTGAGCTTTTCTGGGATTAACGTATAGTGTATAACGTTTGAATGATTAATCCATGATAGATGACATTTATCATATGAATCTTTTACAAAACCCTACGTTGCTTGGCGTGCAAAATATTTATTATTCGAAAAATGTATAAAGATTTTCCCAGGCGTGCGTTGGTTTCAAATTCCTTTATTCACGCGTTTAGTCATTTAAATTCAACCGTACATCTGACATTTTATCGGCGTTGCAATATAACTGTCCCGACATATGGGTATGACGTCAACCGATCCTCGTCGATACTCGATAAATGTAACGATGCTGTTCTTCGCAGCACACTTAAATATTGATTATAGCAAATCTGTCAAATCTCAGAAAGATCAATGATTTGCATATGCGAATCGTATACCATAATATGATTAATTAACAATTAACTAATCATTTACTAATTAGAATCGACGGATATTGAGCATTTCAAATCATAGAATTATTTTATGTATGTAGTATATTTGAGATTCTTCAGTTTCCCGTATAACAGTTTTGATTTAATTCTAGTATCAAACTGCAAATTAATAAGTATATCAATATAAAAAGAGCACGTTTAGCGAACTATACGAAACAAAAATGAAAAACATTCGATTAATTTAAATCAAGGTCTTGACTAATTGTGACTGTGGAACAGGCAAACGGCAATTCGATTTTTAAATATTGAATAATATGTGTTTGATTTTGTTAATCACTTATGCTCAACAAACTCAACGAAGATATGTCCCATCAATACTTAGTCGATCCATTGTATCCCGTTGGTATTCGCATGACTATACCGAGTAAATTTTTTTTGTCAAGAATTTTTAAGGTTCGTTAAGTAATAAGAATCTAATTTACTTTCTAAATGAACCAACCGTCCAATTAGTAGCCTTCCACATTAACATTAACAATGAAATAGGGGTACAATAGCAAGAGACATTCCATCAGCGAAACGTGGATGCTAGACTTACCACGACAAAACCACACAATTGTACAAGGGAGATACCGTACACTATTGGATCTACGTAATTTACAGGGGAGTCTGATACAATTTAGTAGATAAAATATACGCTGTTATAATATGTGTTTGTGTGTGCCTATGTGTGTGTGTGTGTGTGTGTGTGTGCGCGCGCGCGTGTTTTTTTTTATAATTGAAATGAGTAAATAATAATCAATCATTCTAATATTACAATTTCAAAATTTTACACAAACAACGGTAACCAAATATCGTCAGTCGCTAACAAGAGTACTCGTTCTGATGGCAATGTTAATTACTAACTTTTAACATATATGTATAAACATATTGAAATATATTAAGATAAATAAAAATTCTCGTAATTAAACACTTTGAAACGTTGAAATCTGAATTCTAACAAAAGTTTTGCCTGTCCGTTATGTAACTTCATTTACTTTCCTCTTGGAAGTTTTTTAATCAAAATTTCTAAAGTTAAACTTTTTCAGTTAACAAAAAAAAATTACTTCTAGAGATTAATCAGACCGTAAGTCTCGTTTTCGTACGGCGTTCGTAAAATTGAAAATTAAAACAACATCACGAGTAACTAGTGGATTAATTCATTGTAAAATCGCTTTTCTGTGCACATGATTTCTAGCGCCCAATTTCAAGAAAAAATAATGGTCATCTTCTTCCAAACATCCAAATTCAGGATTTCGAGTATATCATTTTATAATGTGACATTATTCTTACATTAAAATATCAATGAATTTTCGGTAAAAATGCAAAATTCTGACAGAGTCCAATAACGCGAATGAAATAATAGAACCTAACGTTGGGCGTACGGCAACAAAATCTAGCGTGAACAATAAAAATAAAACGCACTTCTGAAAAAGCTGCAACGTAATTTAGTAATAAGAAGAAAACTACAATAACTAAATGTAAAATCAAAAACTCAACCAACAATGGTAAAGCTTTATCTATATCGTATATAATTTTTCACTCGATAGAATAATGCAATACATTACATTACAGTATATAATGGAACTCGTCATCGTAAAAACTCCTTTCGTAGCAATATTTTCGTTCATTTTTCTTACAAAACATAAGATAACAAAGAATTATTTTCGAACGAAGATTCAAAGAGAAGGTTTGCCCTCACGCGGAAGCTCCATTTTATCAAGTTTCAGTTAAATGATGAATTGGGTCAAGTAAAATTTATCGCTCTTGACATTTCATCCCTTCAGCAAAGAACTAGATACTTTCATTCGATCTCACATTTCAAAATTGAATGAATGTTTGACAACGAAGCTCTACTTTCAATTACCAACTTTTTCTTTAAGATTATAGTCCAGAAACATTTATCCGTTCAACAAAAGTGCTGTACTCTTATTTCAAAATTAGTTTGCATATTAGAATTAAGTAAAAAGATATGTTTAATAGTATGTCAGAAATAAACATTTCTGCTTGAATTTTTAAATAATTGAAAACAACATTTTTTTCATTTACTCCAACTTTATTTACCATTTGCCTAACTTGTAGAGACAATAAGTAAATGTTACTACTATACGGTATATGTACATGAAATTAAAAAAAATACTTTAGTGAGTATGTATCAAATAGATTGAGATTTATTTATACATTCATAGTTTATGTTTCTTAAGTCTGTTGTTGGTGATGGATGTCTTAAGAAGTTTGCTGATAAGTTTGTTTGGGTGGTTTTGAAGTCTAGTGTTATATTTTTCATAAAACTTTTTAATTTCTTCTTTTACTGTTTGAACCTGTAGATCATTTCATATAATTTCATTTAGGGCGAACCATGGGGTTCATACGATATTACGTAAGACTTTTAGTCGAAAAATAAACTGACAGCATTTTATTTGTTTCAATTTTTGTTTTCGCAAACATTTTTCTTATTTGTTATTTTTATTCTGCATTCATTCCGTCATACCACGGAAATAGTACTTTTAGAAAAAGAATCCAGTTTTTAAATAAAAATATAAACACAGGATATTCTAATTTGCGTTTAAAATGAAGAAAGCAGATAAAAAAAGTTGGTAAAAGCTAAAGCAGCTGTGACTCATAAATACGGAGGACGAAGCCATCGTCAGTAGGAACGTGTTTATTGAGGATATGTAGAGCGAAACGCGTTTGGTAGGGAGGCAATCATCGAAAATCGTAAAATTCCTATATTGCCGTGACTCGCGTATGTATGTATGGTGGTCGTGGCAAAAGGCACACGTCAGACCGAGGGACATCTACATTCGTTATTGGCCAAATTAGCATGCCATTTTGGCATTGCAGCTCGAAGCGAACGCGCTAGAGAACTGTAAGCATTAATCGGGATTTACGATGATTTTCGGCCGCCCCGAATCATGTTGGGTGCAATCGCGTTTACACAGCGCACATATCGAATTGAATGTCCGACGTGACTGGACTCAAGCGCTTCTGCAAGCCCGCGGCTTCTGCTCTCGTTCTCTCTATCTCTCTCCCCCTCTCTATCTATCTATCTATCTCTGTGTATTGTTAGGGTCAATAGTTTACGCTTCTAGATAATATTTCAAAATTTCTGTTTGCTCTAGCGGGCAACTGTAGTCAATAGTTCGACGTGCTTGGTTTTGTTGATCTAACTTTGCATGTAATATTTACTTGAAATTGCTGAGCTTATTGTCGTTCAAAATTATTCATTAAGCAAGTTTCTCAATATTCATATCACATATTGTTGTTCACAAAGCAAATTTTATGGAAAATAATTGAAGAAAAATTACTTCCTGAGTCGAAATTTATGCAGAAGCCGAATCAAATTATTTTTAAAGACGATTTTCTTTACCCTTAGTGCATACTGATAAGATTTCTAATAAGAATCACCCCTGTATATGTGCTGTCCTCGCCATTCAAGATTTTTTCACAACCACTTCGACTCTCTAATTTATCGACTAATTAACACCTGTCTAATTTCAGTTCAATTTCGAACAACACATCTAAAGTGTTGTTGACATTGTGAGTTTGTTGTATAGTATTTTTTTAATCATTATCTAATTCACAGATGAAAAAAATAAGTATTATTGCCATTATTCGTTTCTTCTTATAAAAATATTAACATTCAGCATCAAATCACTCCTCTTGCAGCGCGCATCCTGAACAGATGCGCGACAAAAAGCTCCTCAAAAATCGAAGTAAATCGTAGCAAGTGTTTTCACGTAAGTCTTATGTAAAGTGTAAAATAAAATTATCAACTTATCCAATCAAAATTTAATATTAAAACCACCTGTCATGGCTGCAAACAATGAAATACTGCCAACATCACCGATAATAAAACACGAAATAAAAAATAAAAGAAGATACAGAATGAAATTTTATGTTAAACAAAAGATCCAGAAATAACACGGAAGAAAATAAAATAATCAAAAAAAGGCAAACCAATATCAAAGAATACTGGCTAAGAATTACACGGACAGTCCATAAACGCTTAAATTGTCGCCGATAGTCGTAACTATAAGTGTATATTTGTAAGTAAAAATTCAAATTGATAATCCGAAATTATTCACCGTATTATAGTAGATTTAGAAAGGAAACATCGATTTTTATATTTTTCAAAAAAAATGTTGTAGTGTAATTAAAAAATAATGAAAACAACAAAGAATTATACGAAATAAAAAACTTATGAACAAAATACTCCTTTTTGAAAAACTGTATATATACTTATATTCCATAACG